AAGAAAGTATTTGGTATTCAATCCTAATATCAAAATAGGAAAAAAACGTTGAAATGATTTTAAACATGATGACTAGAATGATCTCTGCTAGCATTTCACTTTTCCATTACAACTCTTATCGCGCAAATTATACATGAATCACACTCACATGCAGTCATGTGACCTCCACTCTCGTTTCAGTTTTATCTCTATTGTCCTACATAACGGATACACCCGACACTGTTCAAAAACATCGATGACACGTGACAATGATAAATTTATTTTAGGTTGCATGATATGAGGCTTATATTATAGGTAATACTGTTCACGTTAGGACAAATATCACTTGACCTTTTGATGGCTTGTATTCCTGTAAGTCCAACATTCTAAGAACTACGAAGATAATAGGACAATACTCACTGCCGAGCTTAGTTTTTCTTATATTTTGTAAATGGGAATATTTGTCAAACGGAAAAAAAAAATTCTCGAATAGAGATATTTCTCTGACTAACGATGTCAAAGAAACGTTGATCTTGTGTATTTTATACAGAATGATGTCAACGCGTTGTCATGAAGTCATGAAATTTTTCAATAAAATGAAACAGAAACATGTTGATCACCAAGATATTGACCACGTGAGATGTTGACCATCGAGATAGATATTGACTACGTGAAATGATGACCAACGAGATAAATATTAATCATGTGAGATGTTGACCACCGAGATAGATATTGACCACGTGAGATGTTGACCACCGAGATAGATATTGACCACGTGAAATGTTGACCACCGAGATAGGCCCATGTGAGGTGTTGACCACCGAGCCATGTGAGATGTTGACCAACGAGATAGATATTGACCATGTGAGATGTTGACCACCGAGATAAATATTGACCATGTGAGATGTTGACCACCGAGATTAATATTGACCATGTGTTTAAGATGTATTGACCACCGAGATAGATATTGACCATATGAGATGTTGACCTCCGAGATAGATATTGACCATGTGAGATGTTGACCACTGAAATAGATATTACCATGTGAGATATTGACCACCGAGATAAATATTGACCATGTGAGATGTTGACCACCGAGTGTGTTATTTTCATAAAGAAAAGTGGTGAGGAAGTCGTTGCCTCTATAAAATCAAGCTAATGAAATGAAATCTAGAAGAGTATAGATCTAACAACCGCGTAATGTAATACATACTTTAGGTTGATAATGATTATCGGGAAGTTTAATGGTTTTAATGATGATCTGATTGGGAGATATTGGAATTAGATATCATGTTTTGCGTGTTTGATGCTTATTGGTATAGTTAATGGTTCCGTTGTTGTTAATCGTTTCCTAGACACTACATATTCTAATGGGTATGACAAATAGCGAATGTGGATTGGTATCACAGACAGAACGAATGTACCTGGGTGTGGTTGAATGTGGAGTCGAACGAACCTACTGGGACCAAGTAACACTAAATGACGTCTGCATGCCATGCTTCTCTTTCTCTGCTGATTGTGGTAGCATTGAATACAGAAACATTGGTGATGATGTTTGTGATTATTTACAAAGCTATGTCTGTGAGAGATCGGACATAATTAAATATTACAATATAGTATCCGGATGAGGAATAACTCTTGATCTTAGTTCCACTGTTCGTTTGTATATAGCGGCAACCTTATCACACATCTGATTTTATTTTAATCATACACAGAAAAAGTGAAGATGATAATGGAGAAAAATTGCTCACATACTATATTTCCGTAATACTTCCAAGCAAATAATTTAGAATATGATGTTCAATTCCCGTCTAAGCGTCAGTTACTATCTAACTTGTGATGTCAGTGGAAATTGAAGTTAATAAATTGGCTATTTTTATAGAGGCTTGGATTCTAAATTAGAATAAAATAAACGTTGGAATGGTTTTAATTGATCACGTGATGAGAGGTGAAAAGACTTTACAATAAGATATTGTATTTCATAAGTTTTAGCGTGTGTGGTAGTTGCCATATAAGTTAGAAGGACAGGTAAATGTACCGCGTTACCAAGCAAAAGTATATGGTTACCGGTGTATTCTGTATACATACAACACAATTTTTCTCAGCTAACTGATTCCATTGTACTTTCGCTGTTCACGTAACCATCATGTACTAGATTAAGTCCATCATGTGTAGCCATTCAACGTAACATGAAGCTGTCATTTCGTATCTAGGAATTTTATGCAAGGTGTTTAATAGTCTAGATATTTATACAATAATTTAACGTCATACATCTTATAAAATGGCATATCTTTAACCAAGGTGGGAAGGTTATTCCATACCTTTCCACGTTCCATCAGGGAATCAAACATCATGTGATTTGACAAGGCGATTACGTTTCCACTGCTCAACACGAAAATTCAGAATATGTTGATGACAATAAAGCTATGTAAGATATTAGGAAACGGTTACAATATGAACCCACTATTGTACTACGGTTACAATATGAACCCACTATTGAAAAACGGTTACAATATGAACCCACTATTGAAAAACGGTTACAATATGAACCCACTATTTTAAACGGATATTGTATGAACCCACTATTGTAAAACGGTTACATTATTAAACCACTATTGTAAAATGGTTACAATATGAACCCTATATTGTAAAACGGTTACAATATGAACCCACTATTGTTAAAAGGTTACAATATGAATCCACCATTGTAAAACGGTTACAAGATGTACCAATTACTGTTATCAGAACAATGCTTTTACCCCCACCAACTATTGTAACACGGATATAAGGTATACCCACTATACTAACAACAATATTGTAAAACAGTCACTCTATCGAAACATGTTACAAAGATGTTGCCTTAGTTACTGCTCCAGCCACAAAAGAATTCAACAAAAATGTGCATGTATTATCAACACAAATCATTGACTAGAAATTCCATATGGTTTTTTATTGTTTGTTTTTTATCCCTTTTTGTGGGTTTTTTTCTTTTTTTCTTTTTTTGACAAAATTAAATTGGTTAAGTTTGTTTCTCGAGTTCTCAAAACAAAAAATGAATATTTGGGTAAAAGTTCTAAAACATCCCGTTCCTCTTTATAATTAGTTTAATAATCAACATTTTTCTACTTAATTAACTATTAAGGTTTTTAAAAAGTTAAATTTCAGAACCATTGTCAGATATAGGATTTAATGGGTTTTTTTCGCAATTGATATTTCTTGGTCGCCTTTTTGGTTGGGCCTTTTAGATCAAATTAAATAGTATCTTCAAATAAGTTGTTTCTCTTGTTATAGAAGTAACATTTTGTTGCATGTGAATATAAATATACTTTGTTGTCAAAATGATCACTGTTATGTAACAAATAACACTTTTACTTTTTATATCATTATGAGCGAAGAGGACCTATTTACCTCTAGTTGTATCAACTTTGAAAGTCATTACAGAAAGAACAGTATCCGGCGGGAAAATGCTCGAGGACTCTTGGTGATTGTCAAAACAACACACAACAATAAGAAATGTTGTCATGATGAGAACATTTTAATATGCACCTTTTTGCGTTGTTTTTTTGTTGTGGAGAGACATATACACAATAGAAAAGTTACAAATCAACTTCAATCGTCAATATCATTCTTTCTGCTAAATGACACGGTTAACACTGCAGTAATGCAACACCGCTAGCAGGCTTTAACCGGTTCGGATGTGTGTGTATTAACTACGATGCGAAGTGAAGGTGTTATAAATAAAACACGTCAGTGTTACTTGCCCAACAGTACAACATAATATGAACTTTCTTCGTCCTCGGCAAATTCAATTCCCGACCAATATAGACAAGTGATGGTTCCCGAAAGTGTCATATTCGGTTTTGTTTTTTGTTTTTGTTTTTTATGTTTTGTTTTTTTTGTTTTGTTTTTTTTGTTTTTTTTTGTTGTTTTTTTTTTTTTTGTTTTTGGTTTTTTGTTATACATATAAATTTAGTGATTGGGCTTCTTCTTTTCATTTGCAATATAGATAGATATATAGGATTGGTAGAAAATCCCTAAAATTATGTTATTATAACTTTAAAATAGGAATAGAAAAGAAATAATTATATTCATCTCCTTTAAGAAATGGCAACATACCCTAAGATATTTCTTTAGTATCATTAGACTGTATACGCACTGCGTGTAATTAATGATTAACTTAAAGACATTCCAGTCCTCTAAAGTAGTATATGGCTGTTGTCATTCGAAATATAAGCCACCCAGTTGTCTTTATTGTAATATGTAGCTATAAGAAACAAATTGAACGTTTGTGTTTTGTTGATAAAAATACAGTATAAAATGATTTGCATCATTTCGAATCATGTTATTCTCAAAATCAAACAGAAATCTCATTGAGTTGAAGTGACATACTAACCTTAGGGAGACACAAAGTTTCGTGAAGAACTTTATCTAGAAATGGCAATTCAACAACAGGCAAAAAGCAAATAATCATGTTGATCATTTAACTGACTAAGTGGTAAGTTTCTCATGTTACTTCGTTACAACAAATACAGTTAGTGGGTAGCAACTGTTTTTTCCCGAAGTCTACGCTGTATATCCACAGACAGACTCTTCTACATTATTTGCTTTTCTCCATCTTTCCTACAACAAAACCAACATGGACAGCTTTCAATTTCCTATTGTGGATTTTCTTGTTTTTGATAGTAATATTCATGCATCTCCAATTGATGGTATTTACATATCACAGTTGATTTTATACCGAAGAGCATGTTCCCATTACCGTGCAAGAAGTCATCAACTGACTGACAAACTCGTAACACATGGGTTCAAAAGATGCAAGTTGATGAAAATATGGGGAAGTTTTATGATCGCTGTAGTGCTCTCATTGAGAAATTTTATATTTTTGTCAGTGACATGAAGCTATACGTATTTGATGCTCGTGAGTTTGCTGTTGGTTCCGCTGTTGTATACCTTGTTGATCTGGTAATATTCTCTTTGTACTTTTTTAGTATTTCGTTGATCAATGTACGACAATTCGCAATCTAGTATTTCTGTCTGATAACTGAAAGTACATATTCCCTTCCAGAATGTCTAGTTTCAATTTCATAAATGTTGCGAACGATCAGTTTAGAAATATGATGATCCTTAGGAAGTATAAGTGGATGTTTCGCTTCCTCAGAAATTGGTGCATTAAGCAATCTTCCTCCAACATGGAGAAAACCGTCGTCATCAATAACTGGTTCCAAATTGTAAAGCACGCTTTTCTTGCTAACTTTTCCATGATGCGCTTTCAGAGTCTCCATTTCATTTCCAAAATCTGTCCTTTGAACGTACGCAATAATTGCTTTCTCTGATCTGATCATGTCATCCGAATCAAGTGTTATCGATACGGTACGCTTCCTAACCCAGTCCTTGTACTTAAGTAGCCAGGCGATTGCCCCTTTTAACCGATACCAAGATGAGTGGTAAGCCAATAGCTTGTTGACCAATTCATTTTCAGATTCGGATTCAGCAGTGTATAATTGTACAGTTGCTTTAACTTTCTTGTCATCAGTCAAAGAATCCTGATAATCTGTAGGCGATTTCGGCCAGTCGTCCTCACTATCACGTAAAAATATCGGACCCTGTAACCAACGTTGTCGAGAAACCATCTCCAATACGTGAAATCCCCTAGAAGCATCATCCGCAGTATTCAATTTTGTATCGATATATCTCCAGCAATCCAGAGTAGATCCATCATGTATAATAGCGATACGGTTCGTGACAAAAGTATGGAATATCTTGTCCTTGTTCTTGATATATTGTAATACTATCATGCTTTCTGTCCACAATACATTTCTGGAGATGTCAAGATTCAACTCCTCGTTCAAAATGCTACTAGGTTTCACTGCTATCACTGCGGCTGATAGTTCTAGTCTAGGAATATACATTTGTTTTGTCGGCGCCAATTTAGACTTTCCAGTAACAAATGCGCAATGAATTTCGCCATCCTCATTCAAAGCTCTGATGAACGATACAGCTCTGTAAGCCTCCTGTGACGCATCATAAAAATGATGTAACTCCAGCTTCACATTGCAACCAAAGTTCACTGGCAAAATACATCGATCTACCTTCAGTTCCTGAAGTTTTGGCAGTTCCTGTAACCATTTTAGCCAAGAATGTTTAATCCTTGCCTCCATGTCATCATCCCAGCCTTTATTCATCTTAGATTCTGATTGAAAAATCTTCTTTGCCTGAAGAACAAATGGCGCAACAATACCTAATGGGTCATACACCGAACTCATGATACTCAATAGACTCCTTCGTGTAAACTTTGTGTCTCTTTCCATGATTTTGATACCGAGTGTATCTGTTTTGATATTCCATTTGCTCCAAGAGCTCTCTCCAATGGCAAAGATCCACAATTTATTTCAAGTTCGTTTATCTCCTGAGTTCTTTCTACGACAAGAATACTTTCTATAACAGATCTGTTATTCGAGACCGCTTTTGTAAGACGTAATCCTTCAAGAGAAATAAGTTGCCGCAATTCACTCACCTATGTTATAGCAGTTTCTTCATTCTAACAGATTTCAAACAGTCATCAACGTAAAAGTTCTTCTGTATAATATCTACCGTTTCAGCATCAAACGCAGTATCGTTATCGTCCACGGTGCGTTTTAGGGCAAACTTTTTGCGCACCTGGGGCTCCATACCCCACCGAATGGATGTACGGTCATGCGATATGTGATTGGTTCCTGTGCAATATATCCATCATTCCACCACAGGAATCTCAATACATTACAGTCATTAGGAGTTAGTTGGCAGAACATAGCTTTAATGTCGGCCATTAATGCTATAGGACCTTCACAGAATCTTAACAACACTTTAAGTGACTTGTTTGTCATATCAGGTCCCTCAGAAACATTCTTGTTTAGCGATGTACCCTTGTACTCTGCGGCGCAATAAAAAACTATGCGTAATTTGTCTGGCTTATTCTGATTTACAACTGCATGAGTGGTAAGTATCAAGATTTTCGTGTATCGCTTTCCATACAATCATCCTCGACAATCTCAGCGAATCCCTGACTTACAAGCTTATCAACTTCTGCCTGATATTTACAATGCAGCTGTGGGTCCTTCACAAATTAACTCTGCAAATACTGAAGCCTTTTCAAAGCTAAATCCTTGTATCCGACTTAAACGGAATATCCAACTGATAGTGTCCTTCAGATTGTGTGCACGAATCATTCCAAATATCCAGAACTCTTTTGTCGTCCACAGAGTGTTGTGGCGTACTCCTAGCCAACACATGACCAATATCTATACTCCAGAACCGTTCAAGCTGTGTTTCAATGTTGATATCTACTCCAGAGTTAACGTGTACAAAATGCTAGTTTCCTGCATCATGTAACTCATCACATACTTCTCCCAATGGACCATTAATAGTCCAGCCTAATGCTGTTGTAACTGCGTACGGCTCATAATTCCTTCCTTGACGGATTTTCAAAGGCAGAAGAGCTTGCGGATTATCCTGACCAATCAGCATTGTTACATTTTGGCTGTGCGGCACTATAACGTCTTTCATGTGAGTACATAATTGTACATCCACTGATGATGCAATACTTCCGTTCAAAGTCAGGAATTCTGTTAAAGCATGAACTCTCGGTAGATCAATAAGCTTGTGGTTCTTTCTTTTGCCGACCGTACTCTCGAGCGATGTTTGTTCGACTACAGATTCCTTACCGTCATTCAGCGTTTTCAGATTCAAAGTAGTGTGTTTACCCTTCAAACCAAGTTGTTTATTCAATTCAACTGAGCAGAATGTCTTACTGCTTCCTGGGTCCAACAATGCATTTGTCCGAATAAATTCAGTCTGACCTTTACCACGCACCATTACGGTCACTATAGTCAGTGAAGCTTTCGAAGTCTCAGCATGTGCATTCCACAGGCCCCTGAACTGTGTGTTTCCACTTTGTTTACAAGTTTAGAAGGATCCGATACACCAACACCTTTTTGGAGTGTTAATGTGTTACAGTTCGTATTTTGTCGTAATGCAGAATGTAACAACTTTGAATGTTTCTGCTTACAATTATCAATGCCATACAATATTGGAAATTGTGCATTTTTGAGCTGCGTGGTTTCTGAATATTAAGCTGTTGTAGCACAGCTTATGTTCGTTGACTACTTTGAGTCATTGAGACGGTGTCATCTAAGAAATTTCTTACAGCTACTCATTGAATGTGTTCCGCCGCAAAGAAAACACTTGATGTTTTGCTGTTTTCCTGTGTTACTACTACTTTGCTGTTGCTTGTCAGAATTCTCAGCGGTTTCTACAATAAAGCTAGCAACACCACCTTTGTGGGAATTAGATTTAGCATTTGTTCTTTTTTTTCCTTGTCTCCAATAGCAACAGCTGCAGCTCAAAATACAGGATACAATACTTCCTTGGTAACAGATTCCAAAAATGACACAAACACTGTTATATTGGGATATTTCTCAGTTTTGTTGAAAACCTGCAAAGCGTCCTTGCGCCATCTTGATTGGATGTAAAGCTGTAACCTATTTATGATCCTTACCATACGTGTACGCGAGTCTACTTCCTCAAGCATATCCATTGCCTTCAGGGCTTCCAAACATGCTCTTACATCATCTGCTAAATCACGCAAAGCTTGACCATCATTCGACTTTATGGGTTGCCCATCGGTGAGTCTCTTCACCCATGCCTCAGAGATCATATAATTATTTGTTTTTCTTTTAATAACGCTCTGGCACGCGTTTATCCTTCTGTAGCATTAATTATTACGCACGGTTTAACAACCTGACCACCCTTGACAGTACAGTATTGTAACAATCTGTTTAATTTCACAGCATCACTCACCAAAGACTGTCCAACTGTACTATCAAATGCGTTCATAAACACCCAATAATCCGTGGGATTTCCATCGAAAGTCTTTAGACATGTTTTGGGAAGACTAATTTCGTCTAATAATTGTCTTTGCACTGCGATTTCCTGCTGAATAGGTTTTGAAATATTAGCTGGAGTGGAAGGTAGCCTGACATATTTGGTTACCATGTGTTAATTTGCATGGTGGGTTGTCCGGAATAATAATATGCGCTCTGTTACCTTGTCCAGTCAGTAGCGTAGGGATTAAGTGTAGACCCTTTAATTTCTGAGAAATTTGTCTGATGTGATTAAGATTTTATTACAGGAATCTGAGTATTTGCAGTCGGTTCGTTGATTTTCATTAACAGGGTATAAATGTTTACGCCATGATCAGAAGCACGAGAAACTCTACTGTTGTTTTGTTTTTCATTTACATACTGTGATAATACCTTTTCCTCAACATCTGTAGCCTCAATTTCTGCATTCAATTGCAAAAGTTTTAATTCCTGTTCCATTTCACACTGTCTCTGTTCAATACCGATTTGCTGTTTCAAATATATAGCCTTGTTTTTTTAACATAGCCTTTCTAGCTGCTGCCTTAGCTTATGCACTTGATGTAGACGACGCGGTAGAACTGCGGGAAACATGCGAAACACTGTCTTCAGGATGTACATGAATATCAGTTGGTTGTTTCTGAACATAATTGTCATATCTATTTTAGCAGTATGTACCTCATCTGTGACCCTTTCAAAGTGACCAGTACTGTGCGCGAGCTTAGAATCTTCAATACCATGAGCTAATTTTACAAATTCCTGATGAGCAGCTTCAAACCTATTGTACATCTCGAACATATTATCGGGGCACCGACTAATATTTTCATGCTCAGCATTTTGATTTATTAATTCATGCAGTTCCTTAGTAACGGCACCCGCGAGACCTCCACGAGTATGATAGAGTTTCAATAACTGTTCTCGTTTATAACTCTCGGGCGCATAATTCATTTTACTGGGAAGTGTATCCTGCCTGGGCTCAACGCTAGCGTTTTGTGATTTAAAATCCGCGTCGCGAGAGCTAAGCACTTCATGTCTATTACAATTATACATGTACAGTAGGCTAACAAGTCACAATACAAAGCACGTGGTATACAGTATTCTACATACGTATTGTTTCAACAGCCCGTTCGCTAAGCCCGACGGTACTTGTAAGTTACTTGTAAGTTATTTCCATACATCTCAGCCCTCAGATACAAATATCCTGAGTGGATGTAGAAAACACAGTGTATAACTTGCCCAAAAATGACAAATTACCAACACAGTCATTCTTGCTATTTCGTACTGTCCGCCATCTTCTTCCCAAACTACCCAGAATACCTTGCTCGTTAAACAAAAAATCAGCGGGAGTTACCTCCCTTACTCCGTAAACAGTAATCGCATTACTTGAACATAACTACCCTATTATACATATACAATTATCGACAACAGTAAAGGAACATAAGTGATAATTATTTATCAAATCGATATCATCATATCAGGTGCTTTGCTATATACGTGAACTCTTATTGTAAAGAATACAATATCAAAGCACATTTTACTTACTAGTAAAGGAAAATCAATACAGCAACAGCGAGATGTAGAAGGAATGTTTCATAACTAAACACTACTATTGATTAGCAAAGACGTCCTCAGTTTGTTTCTTAAGGAAGTGTGGAATGATTTGTAAAACGAGTACCAAGGTATTCGCAAACTGTCCGACACCTATAGACTTACTGAAACCGTTGTTAACATGTTGTATATACACATAATAGAAGAGACAAAACAACATGCTTTGTACCATTAATTGTACAGAGCCTTTCAGCGTGAAGATGTGTGTCAATCAGACCGACAGCTTTCTAAGCCTGCAACATTTAGCAAATCATAGACTCAAACCGTCATTTGTGATGTCAGGGTCGAAAAAAGACTAGCCAAAACAACTCCGCGTAAATGGCTACAGTCATGCAAAGTTTCGCTTAAATCAGACGGTTTTGAAGGATTGTTTCAGACAAAGTGCGGTGGAGCAAAATAATGAAACAATTACATATGTATTTATATAGTAATGTTAATGTAAGTAATCATAGATATTATACAACAACTGATCGATGTATAGTTTGACTAAATTCGATTATCGGACCAAACGAGAACATTTTACTTACCGAAACATTTGTTATGAAATTTGAGTATCATCTTTGTGTCTAGACTGACATTTTGTGTAAAATGCTATTTCTACATCATTCAATACATTATATGTGCGTTTGCAAAAGTCAGCATTGAAAGCTTTTATGCAAATCGGCTGCGTTTCCCTTCAATAGCAAGCTGCTACCAGATTATTTATAGGTTATACAGATATGGACTGTGGTGAAAACAAGTAACTGGTTTATGGTTGGGGTTCAAAGCTCATCTGTGACATTTTGTATTTATTTATTCATTTCATT